AACATTTCAATAGTCATTGAGTGGTCACTACTCTGGACTTACTCTGGAAAACAGGGGCATGGCCAGCACAGCGTCCCCACTCCTTGGGGAGGCCACCATAGGCATTCTGTCCTGGCTCCTGGGCACTGCTCATTTTCTAGGACTTCTCCAGCCCTAGGTGAGAAAGAGGAGGCTCAGAGAGATGAAACAGCCTGCCCTGGGGGCACACAGCACATGTCTGCCCGAATTCAAGTCTCCTCCCAACTCCTTTCCCCTACATTCTGCCCATGACACCATTAAAGAAACAGAGGCACAAGGTCATGGAGGGAGAAAGGAGCAGAGCCTGGACTTCCTTTGGAGACTGCGGCTGTCAACACCAGCCTAAGAAGAGGGAACCATGTGACCTTTTACCTGCCCCCACTCTCCCTTTCCCACCTGCTGTCCATCAGTGCCCCAGGGGGGCCTTCCATAGTGTCCCCCTCCCCAGAAGCTCTCTGGCACTCTTGATGCCCTATAGTCCATAACCAGCACTGGTCGTCCCGCAGAAGAGGTCAGGTGCAGGTGGACATCATCAATATTAGCCGTTCTTTGGCAGATGGGAAGACTCTGTGAGGTATATTACTCAATGGCGAGCAACAGAGTCCTGGAACTCTAGCCCTGGAACTCTGGCTATAGAGCCCCCTCTGGGAAGTAATGCTCAGATGTTTCTCCTCTCTTGTGCCAGTCCTTACCATGACTGCCATTGCCCCCACCAAGCTGCCTACCACCTTGTCCTGGACAGCTGGCCTGGCTGCTCCTCACTTCCCACCAGAGCCTGTTGAATCAGGGTTGCAGCACTAGGGGCTGGTCTGGAAGGAAGAGAGGAGACAGGCAGGCTAGAAGTTGGGTAGCATTTCTCTTCCTTCCAAGGGTCTGGGCTGGCAGTGGCTAGGATGCTAAGTGTAGTCAGATGGCCTGGCTGGCCTCCTTTGTGCTTGTGGCCAAGCCAGGGCTCCTAGGAGTAAGAACAGAACATGATGGTGGTGTTGGCCTCTGTGGGTTGCCGTGGTGACTAGAAGCGATCCCATGTGAGCTGCGATGTACACAGGTAATACTCAATACATGCCAGGCATTAGCTTTCCTTCTTCCTTTTTCAAACAAGTGTTTTCAAAGCACTGGCAGTGCCTAGGGCTGGCAAGGCTGGGGAGGGGAAGCAGTGACCCACGTAGGCCTTCTGTAGGAAGCAGTGTGTGATGGTGTTGGTAGTACAGCTGAGCACACATGCCCATGGTGACCCAGCAATTCTGCTCCTGGCAGCTTGCCCAATAGAAATCAGCAATGAAACACACGTTCCCCAAACCCTTGACAAGATGCACATAGAAGCTTTAATCATCATTGTCAACAAACTGGGGGGACAAGAGCCTCCGGATGGGGGGGTACACACATGCAAGGAATGGAGCCACAGCACTTATATACAGAGACCTCACCACTGTCCCTCACGACCAGATGAATTCTGTGCACATGGAGAACTGGGCATTGCCGAGGCCCCCCAACCACTGTACCCGCATGACTCTTCTCCTTTGTGTCAAGACAGCAGTCACCTTGGGGGGCAATGACCTGGCGTGTGTCACTCCTGCGTACTTCTGGATGCTTAACTGAAACCTCATGGGACCATACACCATGCCCCCTCTCCCACTGCTCTTTCTGTCTGCTTCTTCTATTTCAATAAAAGGTTGATTTTATAGGAAGTTGAGTGGCCTAAGGAGGAGGCTCTGAGTGAGGGGTTCAGAGGCTGCTGAGGGGAATAAGGTGACCGCTATCCTCTCCTTGTCTCCCCAAGCTGAAGCCAGGAGACAGGTATACAGACACCTCCCTCCCCTCTCCCTCAGATACACAGACACAAATAGTGACTGCTAGCCTATCTCAGGTTCCCAGACAGGAAAGCGCAGGAGACCGTGGGGGCATGGAGGGACTCATCTAGATGGGAGCCAGAAAGGCTTCCTGAAGGAGAAAGAATAAAAGACAAACTCCTAGACTACAGAGAGTACGCTGCAGAACCTTTATTTTCTTTCTTTCTTTTCTTCCTTCTTTCTTCCTTCCTCTTCCTTCCTTCCTTCCTCTCTCTCTCTTTCTTTCTTTCTTTCTTTTGTCGGTTGTGGGGCTTGAACTCTGGGCCTGGGTGCTGTCTCTGAGCTCTTAGGTCAAGGCAAGCGCTCTACCACTTGAGCCACAGTGCCACTTCTGGTTTTCTGGTGGTTAATTGGAGATAAGAGTCTCATGGCTTTGACCGCGATCCTCAGATCTCAGCCTCCTGAGTAGCTAGGATTACAGGCGTGAGCCACTGGTGCTTGGCTCAGCTGCTGCAGAGCCTTCTAACCATGTGGCACCCTATTTGCCACTGGCCTCTGGCTGCTCCTGGAAGGACCACTGTAGCTGTCTGTGAATGGCAGTCTCTCCTGCCCCACCCTCCCCCAGGGATCCTTCTGGCCTCTCCCTCTTGTCCTTCAGGGTCCTGCTAGCCCCAATCTAGTTCTACCTTGAATCCCACCCATCCACTGCCCCTGCTCCTGAGCCTCTGTCCTTGCTTCATTTCCATCTCCAGCTTCCCACTAGCCACATGGTGTGAGTTTGTGCTTTCCAGAGCTGGGAAATCACTTGAACCACGGCAAAGTCTAATTTTGAGGGTGCCATAAGCAGATTTGGAAAATTTAACAGGAGAAAATCAACCGAAAGCACTTTACTGATGCTTTGATGTTGGGACTAGGTTAAGTGATAACAGGTTAAACACACTGCAGTATTAACGTGGATTTTACCTTCACCTGGTTCTTATTGCCTATTTAAAAGTATGGCAGACAGGTGCTGGTGGCTTTAAGCTTAGCTACTCAGGAAGCTGACATCTGAGGATTGCAGTTCAAAGCCAGCCTGGGTAAGAAAATCTGTGAAACTTATCTCCAATTAACCGCTAGAAAACCGGAAGTGGCGCCGTGGCTCAAGTGGTAGAGCACTAGCCTTGAGCTGAAGAGCTGAGGGACAGCGCCCAGGCCCAGATTTCAAACCCCTTGACTGACTGCCCCCCCCCCCAAAAAAAAGTGTGGCTGCTAGAAAATTTTAAATGACACCGTTCCTACTGGCCAGTTCCCTCGGGACACAGGCTCATCTTTTGTCACAGGGACAGCCCAGGCATTGGCAGATAGTAAGTGCTCCATAAATGCTGTCCAAAGCATGCAGGAGTGAATTTCTCTGCACTGTGACCTGGACCAGCCTCAGAAAGGTGATGCAGCCTTGACAAATGCTGGGCTTTGAGCGGTGAGGGCTGAGTTGGTGGCTGTCCCCCAAGTTTGCTTGTCTTTCTCTCCAGGCCCTGGGCCACCTCCATGCTAGGCCAGTGGCAGAGGGGCAGAAGGCCCAGGAGACTTAAGCTGTGTTTTTCCTTCCTTGGCCTGTATGGGAGGCAGGTGGATGGCATAGTGGATTTTGTGCCATCAGAGTGGTTCCTGGGGAACCTGGACAGAGCCCAAGAATGGGGGGCATGGGGGTGGCAGAGCACCCCCCCCCCTCACAGCTCATGCTTTTACTCCTGGGCCCCTATCTCAGCCCCCTCCGTCTCCCCCAGAAGGAAGGCTTAATCCATGCCCTCAGGGGGAAAACCGCAGTTTGCTTGTGACATGACACATTGACAGGTTTCTGGCAGCTGTACCCCTTTGTGTCCCCAGAGCTATTGGGGCCATATAAGGGTCACCTCTGGGATCAGGTGGGTGGAGGAACTGATAGGAGGCTGGGAACCCGCACCCACCCCTGTGGAACGGTTGGCGCAGGCTGGTAAGGCAGCCCTGGCCCTGGCTCTGGCCTGTTCATCATCGTGATGATGAACACAGAAAGAATTCACCCTGGGAGAGGGGATGGAGGAACCTGGAGTTCAGCAGGAGTGGGAAAAAAAAGTCATTTTCCACATCTAGAGCAGGGCTGAGGGGCTGGGCACAGACTGTCCCGTGGGTGGATGCATGGCCATCTTCTCCAAGTCTCGGAACCTGGCTGGCTTTCCATAATGGGGGCATTTTCTTATATGAGAGACACCAGGGCTGACAGGGCCAGTTAGTCTTGGTATGGAGATACACATAGTCAAGGTGGCTGGGGGCTTACCAGTGCTTGGAGCATCTTTTGTGCTGAGAAAGTGCCTCTCTGGCAGACCCCGCCTGAACCAGGGCACACAGCTGGCGGGTAAGGTGATATTGGACCCCACTCCCTGGCCAGGTGACATTCCAGCACAAAGCCTCAGATGGTGACTGGAGACACAAGTCCCCAGACTCATGGAGCTTACAGAGATGACCAACAAGACGCGAACACAAACTGCATTTAACCGACACCTTAAAATAGTCTGGGCACTGTTTTTTAGTGAGGGGCAAGATCTTCTAGAGGGGTGGACATGGAATCCCAGAAAGCTGTATGTTCTATGGAGCTAGTAATTATCCACGCTCCACCTCCTACCCCATTCCCCTGTTCAGCACTATTTCAGTAGAGATAGGGAGAGGGGAGAGGTGGGAAGTGTTAAGTTTAAGCGTTTGAATTCCTGACCCGCCATTCCTTCTGAAATGGCCCTCATGAATCAGCAGGAAATGGCCAGAACCAGAGCTCCCGCCTGCTGTCCAGGAGAGGCCTGGCTAAGGCTCTCTCTCTAGACTCTATCAGGCTCCCTGGGTCGGACTAAGATGAATTTGAGCTGGAATTCTGGCCCTGCCACGGACTAGCTCTGTGGCCTTGGGCAAGTTCACTCCGGTCTCTGGGACTTAAGTGTTCCCATCTGGGAAATGACATCTAACAAAGCAAAGTCTTCGAAAGTGGCCTAGAGACCGTGTGTTGGAAGCTGGGCCACACACCACAGGTGCTGGGCACAATGCCCCTGACTAGACCAGGCTTTCCTGGGAGTGAAACCGAGCCTGGGCTGTGCCCTGGGGGCCCAGGGCAGTGATGGCAGTGAGGATGGAGGGAAGGTTGGGACTTAAGGACTCTCAGAGTCCTTGTTTTGGCCCCTTTCAGGTGTGCAGCCAACAATGTTGGGTGTGTGGTCCCTGCTTCTGCTCTGGGGCCTGGTGACTCCATGCCAGGGGCTGCTGGAGACGGTAGGCACACTCGCTCGGATTGACAAGGATGAACTTGGCAAAGGTGAGAAGCTGGAGGTGGGTGGCATGGGCGGGGCCAGCTGCCACATCAGCTTTGTGGACAGGTAAGCACAGGCTGCTTAGGGTAATCTCTGTATGGGGACCTTGGAGCGGTTGGCAGAGCCCTGGGGGTAGTGAGGGGCTGGACACTGTGGGCCCAGACTGTGCGGAGGCCGTGTGGGGCTTGAGGACAGGGTAGGGAGGGGCTAAGGAGGCACAGGGAGCAGGGAGTGTGCTGGCTGGGCCATGCCTCTGTCCTGTGTTTCTGGAGTCTGAAGTTCTGGGAAGTCTGCTGGGGATCTGGTTAGTCAGTCCTCCAGGGCCCAGTGGCCTGTGGCGACAACCTCAGGTTGGGATAGAGCAGTTGTGAACAGGAAGCCCTTGGGAAGGCCATGCTGGCCTGGCCTCACCATCCATTACCTTCTGTAGATGGAGATGGTCAGGGCCTTGCGCGTTCATTCTATGCTCCCGCCAGCAGGGCCGGTGATCACCAGTGCTGGGCTGGGAGAAGGTGACTGGCTCAGTTCCCACTCCTTGAGTGTGATCTCCAGTTAGATCCCAGTAAAAACAGAATGCTCCTGAAGCTCAGAGGGGAGGGGCTGGCCTAGCCCAGCGGGTGGGGTGGACGCATCTTACATCTTCATATCTCCTACCCTCTCTGCAGCCATCCAGAACTCACTGATTGCGGGACCCATCCTGCAGAATGTCTTGGGGACAGTGACATCGGTAAACCAGGGCCTGCTGGGCTCCGGAGGGCTGCTTGGAGGAGGTGGCCTGCTGAGCTATGGAGGGATTTTTGGTGTCGTGGAAGAGCTCTCAGGGTTAGTTCCCACAGGAACGAGCAGATGCCACTTTGCAGGGCCCATGGGAAGGGCCTGTCTTGCCTTTGCTTCAGGGAGCAGGTGGCTGGCAGGAATGGGGAGAGGCAAGGACTCTTGCACACCCGGCAGAGCAAGGATGACTGTGTGACACTGCCACAAAGGGACTGCACCTAGTTACTCACTGTGTGGTGTGGGGGAGGGGGAGGCAAGTTGCTTGGTCTCTCTGGGCTAATGCAGGTTTCTGTATGGTCCCTCCCTTCCCTCCTTCTGGAGCCTGCTCCAGAGAACTCAGGGCCAGCTAGTCCCTCCTAGATTTGTCTCCAAGGTCTCCCGGGACCCGTCACTCCCTGCACAGCATTCATTCTATTGGCTTGTTTTCCTCACTGGGGCAGATGGTAAGCTCCAGGAAAGGGTAGAATTTTTGTTTTTGCCAGTCCTGGGGCCTGAACTTCTTTGGCTTAAGGCTAGCACTGTACCACTTGAGCCACAGCACCACTTCCCACTTTTTCTGTGCATGTGGTACTGAGGAATGGAACCCAGGGCTTCATGCATGCTAGGCAAGCACTCTACCACTGAGCCACATTCCCAGGCTGAATTATTTTTTATCTGTAGTGTCTTCATGTCACAAATGACACATGATGGATTCATTCGTGTGTGTGTGTGTGTGTGTGTGTGTGTGTGTGTGTGTGTGTGTGTATGTGTGTGTAGTGGGGTTTCAACACTAGAACTCCTGCTCTTACTTGGCTTTTTTGCTCAAGGCTGGAACTCTACCACTTGAGACACCCCTCCACTTCCAGCATTTTGCTGGTTAATTGGAGGTAAGAGTTTCTTGCATTTGTCTGCATGGGCTGAGTTTGAACCAAGATCCTCAGATCTCAACCTTCTAAGTAGCTAAGGTTACAGACATGAGCCATCAGAGCCTGGCTTCATTCAAATATTTTTGAATGAATGAATAAAATCACACACTAGCTAATACTTAAAAACATAAGGACCACCTCCAGGGCTTTGTGGCACTGGGCTAAGCGTTGTCAATGAATGAAGGAAAAGATTATTATTAAGTGCACTGAACAGATGAATGATCAAAGTCCAGGACAGAGTGGTAACTTACCACACTCACTTGGCTGGGGCAGGAGGGATGGCAGGGGCATATCTATGTGTCAGTCTCAGGCCACACACACACGGCCTGCCATGGCTGCTGGTGAATCAGAATCAGGGAGGTCAAGGATGGGCCTCAGAGAAGGCTGAAAGCAGACAGGGGTCAGCAGGAGGAAATGGGCTGCTGGAGACACATCTGCCTGGAGACAGGCTGTCTGGGTGATGCTGGGGAAGTGGCCAGTGTCATGGGGGTAGGGAGAGAGGCAGAGCGGCTGGGCCATTTGGCTGGGATCCTCTAGTCAGTAGCAGTGCTGGAATTCGAAGCATCTGGCTGGAGCATTCATCGGACTGGTGCCAGGACCAAGCGAACCCGTGTTATATAGCTAACATACAGCCTGGCACACAGAAGGCACCTTAGATTCCACATCTGTCCCATGGCGGCAGCCTCCTGCTGGGTAAGGCTAGGACCTGAGACTTGAACTTGAAACCAGAGTCCTCAGAGGACATTTGCATAGCCTGAGAACCAAGAAGACTTGAAGGAGGGCACACCCTCACTGAAATCAAGGGAGCTCGCTGGAAGAGGATGTAGACAGGGTTTGGGGATCTGTTTGAATTGCATTGTAAGGGCTTATGGGGCCAAGTACAGATGAGAGACAAGATCAAGGTCAAAAACGGGAGTTCCTGAGCCTCTGGCTGGAATCCCAGGTCACATTTCTACCTCCATCTGCACTGCACCTGCTCTCTTGTCTTCCCCACCCCCTGGGAGGTGGCAGGAAGGGGGGTACATGTCCCCCTCTGTGGATGAGGGTGCCCAGCCTTGGAGAGAGAGGATACGGAGCTTCTGCAGATAGAGGGGGGATGGGGAACCTGCCCAGGACAGAGTCACCACCCTGTGTGGTCAGGGACATCCAGGCTCTTGGGATGTCTGGGAATGAGCAGCCCATCTCCACTCCACCCCAGGCTGAAGATAGAGGAACTCACACTGCCAAAATTGTCACTGAAGCTGCTGCCAGGGTTTGGGGTACAGCTGGTCCTGCACACCAAGGTGGGACTGCACGGCTCTGGGTGAGTGTCTGGCTGGGGACCATGACCATATCCTGCCAGGCTGCCCCCCAGCCCTGCCTCCTTCCCAGAGACCTCCCAATCTACTGTCCCCCAAGACTTCCATACCCACTCTCCAAAGCCTTCTGTATAACCAAGATCACCCAAGGGGCAGGGAAGAGGGGGAGGAGATGGCACTGCTCTGGGGCTGGACCACCAAGGGTCTCTTGAGCCTTCCCTGCAAGGGATCCACCTTCTAAGGGATCAGCAGGACAGAGTGGGCGTGGCCAGTCTGGATGGGTGTGCTCTAACAGGTCGGCCACACCCATTGTCCCATCTTGCAGCCCCCTGGGGGGTCTCCTGCAGCTGGCAGCAGAGGTGAACGTGTCCTCCAGGGTGGCACTGGGCGTGAGCCCCCGAGGGACACCCATGCTGGTCCTCAAGCGCTGCAACATGCTCCTAGGCCACATCAGCCTGGCTTCAGGGTAAGTCCAGCCAGAGCTGGGGGGTGGGAGGGGGGAAGAGCACCTGCTATGATCAGCGCCTGGGCTTCTGGGGGCAGGGCAGGCCCTGAACTCATCCTGCCAGGTTCAACCCCTGCAAACCACAAACCACAGCTTGTGTCACCCACTCCTGGGTGTCCTCCTCCGGTCCCTTTGATGCTCTTATCCTCAGTCCCTGATAGAACCCAGAGATTTTGTTCCCATTTGTAGAAAGGCACTGTTCCAGAAGCAAATGTCCCTTGTCTGCAAATGTTGAGAGAGACAGGAAGTGGACACTTATCAAGCACCGATTATATATCATCCCCTGTCTAATCTGCAGTGCTGTATAAGGCTGGCCTTGTACACTTGGGCTGGCCCCAGGTCCCATGGCAGGGAAGCCCCACCACCCCCACCAAGAGAGGAGGTAGGAGAAATGCAGAGGCCCTACTCCCCGTGTCCCCCTTCACCCAGGCTGCTGCCCACACCAGTCTTTGGGGTCGTGGAACAGACATTGTGCAAGGTGCTACCTGACCTGGTAAGTGGGGCCCTGGGCCCAGCTTGCCCCTCCCTGTTCTGTTCCCTCCCTGGGTTTTGATAAAGCTGGCGCCAGACAAGATTAGGCTGGAGTTTCCTTCCCCACTCTGCTGGCCAGGTGCTACTTGCTCACCTGTGGCACGGCTTGCAGGGTACAGCCCTCCCCAGATCTCCGGTCGGCTGCCAGCTCCTCTGCTCCCAAATCGCAGTCTCTCCTTCCTGGAGCTCTGTATCTGCAACTTGTATTGTAAATGGCATACTGTTTTTCTTTAAGTTTGCTGTGTAAGCCATGGCACGGCGCAGTTAAACTGCTCATGGATGGGCATCCTCGGTCCGCTCAAGGCCACCCTGAGTCTGGCCAAAGCAGCCCCATTTTACCACGGGAGATGGTAGCACATTTGGGGGTCAAGCACAGCCATGGGCAGTCAGGCTGGCTGTCCCTGTGAGTTGCTCCTGTAAGACTGCCCGTGGGGGTAGGCTGGGCCAGAGGAGGAAAGCAATGTAGAAACAGCAGCGTGGCAGTAGAAGGGGCAGTGCCAGCCTCTACCCCTCCCACCCACACCATCTCAGGTAGATTTTAGCAAGGGGGCGTGGTTACATTTGCATCATGGACCCCCAAAAGTCGGCAAGCGGCTAGGTTCCGTGAGATAGACTAGATGTAAGATGAGATTGATTGCCAGCATCCTGAGATTTCTGGCTTCTCTGTGCAGCCACTTCCTGGACTGCCTGGTGTCTCTCTTGGCAAATTTGCTGCATTTCCTGTCCTCCCCTGCCTCCCATCCCTCTCCTCTCCTCCTCTTATTTCTGTGATTTGCCTGACCCCAGAGGCCTGGAATCTGGGGTGAGGAGGATGCCCAAGTTTGCAGCTGCCCCTGTGTGTCTATCTGCAAACAGCTGTGACCTGGGGGCAGGTGGCCTTTCTTCTTTGGCCCCAGTTGTACACAAAGCGCTGGGCTGAGATCCCACTCTGGTAGTGACAGGACTTAGCTTCTGGGTTCCCGGATTCAGACGGCTGGCTGCTGAGTCATTGCTCCCTGTCCTCCCGGGAGGTACAGGAGGTGGTGGCAAACACATGGCAGGATGGCAGCAGACAGCCTGATCCAGCCTGGTGAAGCAGAGGAGGTGCCCCTCTGTGGGCTCTTGAGTCCACACTTCCTGGTACCCACCAGGAATGGCAGGAGGGACCTGTGACCTCTCCCCGAGAAGGGCCTGACCCCATGCTCTGGCCTCTGGAATGTCTCTCGAGTTTCCTCAGCAACCTTTAGAATTTTCTGCTGGAACTCAGGTGATGAAAGGAATGGGTCTGGGGGTCTACCGAGTCCCTCACAGCCCCTTCTGTGTACCCCATCCATCCACATCTCCACACTCCACGTCCTGCCTTGCGTTGGCTGCCCGCATCACCACGCCAACCACTAAGAGTAAAGGCAGCTGTGTGCACCAAGCGGCGTTGGCTTACGTCCCCCATAACATCTGTCTCCTCCCACACAGCTGTGCCCTGTGGTGGACAGCGTGCTGAGCGTGGTGAATGAGCTCCTGGGGACTGTGTTGAGTAAGTGAAGGCCTGCTTCCTCTCCTCCAGTCCCTTCTGCCTCTGCTCCCATGGCCGCAGGGTGGAGGCAGAGGAAAGCCGGAACGGGAGGAACCCTGAGACCTTTTTGCTGGTGGTCTAGGGATGAGCCCTGGGCTGAGGTGTGAAGCGGGTAGACTGGGCGTGGAGGCTCTTTGGGTCATGGAAGCTCAAGGCATCTACAGTCTCCTGCAGTCTCTGCTGCAGAGCAGCATGTATTGAGTACTTGGGGTCAGAAGCAGGAAGGGAACACTTACTCCCAGGTTAGACAGAGAAACCAAGGCCCAGCGGGCTTAAGTAAGGCAGCCAAAGCCCCACAGCCCCAGTGGACCTTCTGGTCCAGCAGCTTACGGGGCAATGGTGTCTTCATGTTGACAGAAGGGCTGTGGGAAGGGTGACAGGACTCCCTCAGGAGGACAGAATGCTGGGGCTGTGTGTTTCCCTCTGGGGTGCTGGTAAAGAGAGGTAGGGCAGCTAGCTCTGGAAGATAGCCATCCCTTCCCCCTACACCCCCACTCCTGCTTGCTCAGCCTTGGGCTGGTGAAATCCTTTGTCTGGGTCTCAGCTTCCTCCTGTGTGAACTAGAGTGACAGTAGCATGCCCCCAAATGAAAAACTGAGTAGAGTGTTAAGCATGCATGGAAGAGGTGCTCAATAAATGCAAATAGAGACTTGTTACTGGGGACTGGGTTCCTGGGATCATTCTGCCCATCCCTTCCCATGCAGGTCTAGTGCCTCTGGGAGCCCTGGGATCCGTGGAGTTCACCTTGGCCACTCTGCCTCTCATCTCCAACCAGTACATCGAGTTGGACATCAACGTGAGTACCAGAAGGCTCTGCCGCATCTTGCCAGCATGGGCATTAAAGGGGGAAGGAGGGGAGACTAGGGAAAGACCTAAGCCCTTCCTGCAACTGTCTCTGGCCCTCACAGTCTGTCGTGAAGAGTGTGGCTGGCAATGTCGTTGATTTCCCCAAGCCACGTGTCCCAGTCAAGGTGCCCCCCAAGGCGGACCACACCTCCCAGGTGACAGTGCCTCTGTACCTCTTCAACACGGTGTTTGGGCTCCTGCAGACCAATGGTGCCCTTGACCTGGACATCACCAAGGAGCTGGTAAGTGTGGCACAGGGGGTCGATCCCAGGACCTTGGTAGCCTCTCCTGTGTACAAGAGAGCTGGGCACATTTAGGACATGCTGCTAATCTTTTTTGTGTGTGCTTTTGGTGCCAGTTGTAGGGCTTGAACTCAGGGCTTGGGTGCTGCCTCTTAGCGTAGCTCTATAGCACTCTACCACTTAAGCCACAGTCCCACTCCTGGCTTTTTGTTTTTTGTTGTTGTTGTTGTTGTTGCTTAATTGGAAATAATGGCCTCACAGACTTTAATGCCCAGACTCACTTTGAACCAAGATCCTCAGACTTTAGCCTCCTGAGGAGTTAGAATGACAGGCGTGAGCCACTGGAGCCCGTCAGTGCTTCTAATCTTCAACATCCTAGGGTCTATTTAAACCTCAGTGGAATCTCCTGGCTGTCACCATTGCCAATTAGTGTCCTTAGCCATGAAATGGGGGTGCGTGGCGCTCCTGTCTGTGGAGCTGGTGAAGTCAGAGAAGGCATGGAAAGTCCTTACTGTGTGCCAGGCGTGAGCGAGGGTTCGGCGGGAACTGGAGCTTCTGTGATGGCAGGAGGGATGGAGGCGGGCTCTGTGTGTTTCTTTGCCAATCCCTCTTCTATTTGTTCTCACACCTAGGTTCCCAGCAATGTCCCTCTGACCACCACAGACCTGGCAGCTTTGGTTCCTGGGGTAAGTGCCCATTCAGGAGGCCTTCAGCTCTGTAGTTCTTTCCTCGGGAACCTGAATGGACTCCAGAGTGTCTCTCAGTACAGTTGATGTTGAGTCCAAATTCACATCAAGGTGTGAATGACTATCACCGTGTCCTTTCCTGAGAGCAGAGCCGGCTTAGAGAGGAAAGGACTGGGGATCTGGCCCATGGCTGTTGCTGCTCTAGCTTGGGGCTTACTCCATCTTGATCATAGTCTTTTCTACCTCCAGAGAGAGAAGGGAGGAGGGGGAGGGACCCCAGCCCCCCACCCTCCACCCCCCTGCCTCCCCATTCATTTGACTGAAGCTGGACCAGCCAAGTTCCTGTGAGGGTCAGAATTCAACCTGAGGGAGAAATGACTGCTATCAGGTCTTTAATGGGACAACAGATTCTGAAAGAGGTGGGAGAGGGGCCTGAGCACTTACCAGAGAAGAGGTGGGTGGTAGTTGAGTTTGGGGTGCAGAGGACAAAGTCTGAAGTGTTGTGAACCTGTGAGGCTGGGGCTTCCACCTGTCAGAGGCCCTGCAGGTGAGGGCGGAGGAGTCTAGGGGAGGGCTGGGACGGGGTTCTCACAGGACGATGACTAAGGGCAGGATTGCAAGATGGTGGAGGGGGCCCTGCCTTGCGTCTGGGGAGGCTGCTGGGATGAGCCCTGCCCCCAGGGCGGGGAGGCTGGAGTCCCAGGGACCTCTGGCCTCCTCTGGCGGGCCTCGCCGCTCTGGAGCCTCTTAGCTCCAGTTGTGTGTCCAGCTCTGTGGCTTCAGATTCTGTGGAGCCAGGAGGGTAGAATGTGCTGATGATTTGGCAACTCAGAGAGACTGAGCTTGGGGCTTTGGTCTCCAAAGTCCAGCGAGGCAGGGTGCCGAGGGCCTGCTTCTGGGCTCTAAGCTATTGTGCGCCCACGGTTTCCATTGCTGTCTGAGGCTAGGGTGTCAGGACAAGGGACAGAATGTCCATTCTGTGATTCACTCAGTTGGTCAACTAACATCCATTGAACACCTACTGAATACCAGGCCCTGCGTTGGTTCAGGGATATATTTCCCACTCTTGATGCCAAAAGAGACCCAGTGGATAAAAGCCCCTGTGTTCGGGGGCTTCCTGTTCTAGCAAGGGTAGCAGACATTGTACAAATAAACAATCACAGGTGGGAGGAGAGTGGAAGTTAGAGGGGATTGAGTGGCAGACAGGATTGGACACCAGGGTGTGCTTTTTATGTGGGGGGTTCTGCACAGCTTCCCAGAGGTGCCATGTGAGCAGAGACTGAAGGTGAGGGACACAGCTTCCAGGCAGTGGATCAGCAGGTGCAAAGGCCAGGTGGTAGGAGCAAGGCTGGAGTGAATCTAGGGGTGAGTGAGCAACCACAGAAGGAGGGAGAGGACATGTGCACAGGAGGACTGGCCTCTGTGCGAGCAGGGAGAGAGGCAGCCTCGTGGGCTGTAACTTCAGTGCCCAGCATAGACTGGCTGACTGACTCTCCTACACCTAAGCTGTACTCGCCAACCTGTTCTGCTACTGCCTCTTCCAGGCCCTGGGGAAGTTGCCCCCAGACCGGAATCTGATACTCTTACTGAGCGTGAAAGAAGCTCCCCTGGTCACACTCCAGAGCAAGAAGGCGACTGTATCCATCCCGGCTGCCATCCACATGCTGTCCTCTGTCCCGCAAGGGAGCCCCGAAGCCCTCTTCCAGTTAAACGGGGTGAGTAACTGAGCGGGGTGGGTTGGCCGAGCCAGCCCTGATATTCTGAGGGAGCCCCATGCTGGGGTGCTGAGCCTAGCACCCACCCAGACTCCCACCTGCCCCTCCTTGCTGCTCTAACCCTGCCCAGGCCTGTGCACGCTGCCTCCTGGCATCCCCGCCTCTCAGCTCCCTCTGTCTCTCCCCAGCTCCAGGGCTGGCCCTCCCCCAAGCCCCCTGCCTCGGTTCGTGACCTCTCCTCCCAGCCTGGCTGGGAGGAGCCCTCTGGCCAATCCCTTCTGTTTCCCTCCTTGCACCTCAGGACCCACGTCCTGCGTCTCCCCCTTAGCTCTTTGTATGGTCCTTGGAGGTGCAGCCCTCCCCCACCGCCTGGCACCCGGGAGGGGCCTAAGCAGGCTCATGGAGGGCGGAGGTGACTGAGACTCCCCTGCTCTGTTGAGTCCAGCACTGCCCTCTGCTCGCTCTTCCCATCAGGTGCTGACTCTAAATGCCCAGCTGGCGCCCTCGGCCACCAGGCTTCACATCGCCCTGTCCCTGGAACGGTGAGGTGGGACCCTTGCTTTGGGCGCTAGGAACCAGGATCAGGGACTGTCTAAAACAAGCCCGGCCTGAGGTGCATTGAGTCGTGACTGAGCCAGGTGTTTCTCCAGCACCTGCCAGTCCTGGCGCCTGCTGGAAGGGGGCAGTGAGGGAACGCTGGGGGGACACTAGAGCTTCCCACAGCCCCCTCTCTGCTCAGACCTCTGCTCAGAGCGTGCCCCAGGACATTGAGGCCATGCCCCGTGGCGTCACCCCAAGAGGATCATGGAGCAGTGTTGGCAATTGCTTTATTCTTTCACCCACACTTGGGCTGTGTGTGATTCCTTAATGGAATTGTGGCTCTGGTGAGCATCTGCTGTATGCAGGACTCCTGTGTCTGGTGCTCAGGCTGGGGCGCACCACTCACTTACCCAGAGCAGACAGCTGGGAGTAGGGTCAAGGCTCTGAGCCCATGGAGCAAACGCGATGGTCACAGTCTCAAAGGGGGTTGATCCCTCTTTTGTCTCTTTTGCAGGTAGGAAAACGGTCTGGGCTGGCTTTGCACTGTGGTCCTCAGAGCTCAGCCTCCTGAGTAGCTAGGATCATAGATGTGAGCCACCAGCATCTGACTGGTCTCTGAGTCAGAGCCTGGTAGAAGAACTAGGCCTGTATCACCATTTCCTGACCACACAAGAACCATGGCCGCTGCAGGCCAGGGCAGGCTAGGGGTGCAGTGAGCAGAATGGCTTTAGCAAGGGGGTGTAGTGGCTGTCTGGGATACCTCAATATTTCTCTTCTCTCTCCAGGCTCAGTGTCAAGCTGGCCTCTTCATTTGTGCAGTCCTTTGATGTAAGTTTTGGGGGTGCAGAGAGAGCCTTGGTTGCGGGGGTGAGGGTCTTCAGGTGTGTGGGAGGAGCTGGGGGCTGAGTCACAGCTGAGCCTCCATGTGGGCTCTGCCTAAGCGAGCCAGAGCGGGCACATGCGAGGGTACATATGTGTATGCACAAGTGTGTGTGTGCATATGATGCGCATGTGCTTGTGTGTATGCGTGTGTGTAAAGCCGCATCTTAGGAAAGTAGTGAATCTTCTCAGCACCCTCACAAAGAGGTTAACATCTAGAACCTCATGAGGGTCCAAAGCTCTGGAATTTCACACAAGCCCTAAGGGCCTGAACTCAGAAAGTTCTAGCATTTCAGGGTACACACACACACACACACACACACACACACACACACACACACACACACATACACACACACACATTATGAACTTTCTGCTTCTCACAGAGTTCTAGGCCCTGGCATCTCCTCTTGGTCTCAGGTTCTAGAACATTTGACTGAATCTTAGGTCCCACTTCCCAGAGTTCTACTGAAGCCCGGCACCTTCCTTCCCTCTGTCTTAGACACGGCCTCCTGTTAGGCCCCATAGATTCTTTACAAGGGCTACTCTTAGACCAAGGGTGAAACTAGCCTAAATCAGAGTCCCCTCTAGTATCACTGGTGGACAGCCTACCGTGAGGGATCCTGTGACTTCCAGGAACTGTTTCCTGGGGTTGTGTGTGTGTGTGTGGGGGGGAGTAGCTGGGGGATAAAGGCCACTGGGCCTCTGTCCCTGGGAGGGTGGGGAGGCTCCCTGCAAAGCCCCTCTCACCTTGCCCTGTTGCAGGTGACCCGCTTGGAGGAATGGCTCAGCGACGTGCTCCGGGCTGCCTATGTGCCAAAGCTCAATGGTATGGCAGACTTGGCTATCTTCTTAGACACACAGAGTATCTAAATTTGAGACTGTGAGTCAAATCCTCTCTGTTTATCTGATGGGGACACTAAGGCCAGAGAGGAATCCATCTCCATTAGTAAGAGATGAGAGAAATGGAGGAGCCAGTGTTTCCATTCAAGGCACCCACATCAGGCCACACTCTGGACCCCAAAGCCAGATGTGTCTTGGATCCTGAAAACCAGTGGGGAATGGCCACTGTGCACCAGTGCACAGTGCACTGTGCACTGAGCACCAGAGTGAGCAAGGGGGTGAGGAGGCTCTCAGAGGCCTGGCCCAAACAGAAAAGAACCCTTCCAGATTTGAGTGTAAGAAGTGAAAAGTTTGTCAGTAGAACCTAGGTCACCCCAAGGAGAGAAACAGTTGCTTCAAGCGTGGTAGAGCATGGAAGTGGCACTGTGGCTCAAGCGGTAGAGCGCTCGCCTTGAGCTGAAGAGCTGAAGGATAGCACCCAAGCCAAGAGTTCAAGCCCCATGACCGACCAAAAAAAAAGAACTCAAGAGTGGTAGAGCAAAGGATGAACAAAGGCAGCATTGGTAGTCACTAGATACTATGTTGAAAATGAACTATATAACTTGTGGGTGGGATGGGAGGGAAAAACTAAGAGAGAGAAAGGGAAGGGGTTACATTGTCCAAAAAGAAATGTACTCATTGCCTGACTTATCTAACTGTAACCCTTCTACACATCACTTTTATAATAGCAATTTTAAAACATAAAAAAAGCCGGGTGCTGGGGGTTCATGCTTGTAATCCTACCTACTCTGGAGGCTGAGATCTGAGGATTGAGGTTCAAAGCCAGCCCAAACAGGAAAGTTCATGGGACTCTTATCTCCAAATTAATTACCTGAAAACTGGAAGTGGTGCTGTGGCTCAAGTGGTAGAGCACTTGCCTTGAGCTGAAGAGCTCAGGGACAGCATCCAGGCCCAGTGTTCAAGCCCCACTACCAACAAAAACCAAAACAAACCAAAAAAGTGGTATAACAGAGCTGGCAAAGTGAGGAGGTCCCCAGTATCTGAAACTCCCAATCCCCTTTCCTGGTGTATGTTCGATTTCAACCCTTCTCTCTTTACAGTGGACCTGGAGGTTGGGATTCCTCTGCCTAAGATTCTCAATGTCAATTTTGCCAACTCAGTTCTGGAGATCATTGAGGTGAGTTTCCCCTGAAGATCGTACTCTCCCACCCCCTCCCCCCTCCCGTCCTCGCCTCAACCATGGGTCTTACACTTGTATGTGACCCTCTTCCTCTGCCCTGCCCCCAGAGAATTATAAATTACTTAGCTCAAGAACAGCAAATATGAGCCAGGCACTGGCGGCTCATGTCTATAATCCTAGCTGCTCAGGCTGAGATCTGAGGATCACAGTTCAAAGCCAGCCAGTCAAGAAAGTCCATTAGATTCTTACCTCTAAGAAACCACCAGAAAACTGGAAGTTTTGAGCTGCGGTTCAAAGTGGCAAAGCACTAGCCTTGAGCAAAAGAGCTCAGGGATAGAGCCCAGTCTTCAAGCCCCATGACTAACAAAAGAAAACAAAACAAATGGAAAAAAAAAACCAAAAGAATGACAAATACATGGCCCACAGATTTCTACTCTTTCCTTACTTAGCCATGCATGTAGACATTGTCAATCAACGACAGAGTTTCATTTTTTCCTGTTGAATCCAGATACTTCTGGTCTGTAGAATGGAACTTCAGATGTACCACAGTATGATATTTTAATTTCCCTGGTCCTCAGACAGTAAATACTTGTGCTGTCCCTGCTTTATCCTGTGGTAGATGTGGCTGATAGACAAGTGACATTTTTTCATGCAGAATATCGAGGTGATTTCACTAACAATCCAGTTTAAACAAGTACAACTTCGAGTTGTGCAATAGTTCTAGGAGGGGAGCAGAACAGAGAATTTTGTAACCCCCCCCCCCCTCCTTTTTAAGGTGAGGACCAAGGATGAGGAAGTTCAGATTTCTGACCTAAGGTTCTATAATACATTCTTGTGCTAGACATAACACTTGATTGTATCTCAAGCTCTCTTTGTTGGGGGAGGGCACAGTACTGGGATTTGAACTTGAGGCTTCCCACTTGAGCCATGCCTCCTGGATATTTTGGAGATGGAGAAACTTTTCTAGCCAGGTTACCTCCAAGTACAATTCTCAAGGTCTCAGCCTCCTGAGTAGCTAGGATTACAGGCATGAGCTACTAGCTTGAACTTGTCTCCAGTCAGCAAGCTGACCCACAGTGGACATCACCTGTTTATTACTCTCCCTCTTGTCCAAACATTCATTCATGAGTGCCCTATGGTGTCCAGGTTGCTCCCAAGGCAGGGTACAGGTACAGATGGCCAGGCTCAGGGACGAGCCGGGGAATGTGGGGGAATGAGGATTCAGATGATAGAAGGGAGGCTAATGGACAACTATTGTCCTTGCAGAATGCTGTTGTACTGACTGTGGCTTCCTGAAGCTGGCCATGACCTTCTGTTGACTACAGAGCCCTGTTCATCTGTCTACTCTGCCTCAGTTTCCCTCCCAGTCTCTAGTCAGCATTGGTGACAGTATAAAGTTTCCCTTTTCCATTCAGGTCCTCTTCGTCTCTGACCTTGCAACTCTGCCCCATTTTGGAGTGGGGCCTGTGGGGTTAGCCACAAATCGACTTCGGAGAGTTTTTCTGGGCCTCAGCAAAAGTCCTGACTGTTAATAAACTGCCTCTTGTGCCAAGTGTCAGTAAATCAGTAAATATACCTCCTCCTGGCTGGTTTGTGCCCCTTAGCTGCCAAGGCCCACCCAGCTCCAAGCAGGAGCTCCTGGGAGGTGAGGGGACTTGGGGCTTAGACATTGAGGCATTGAGCTTCAAGCCTATCTAGCTAGTACGGGGAGCCTCAGATTCCTCCCTGTCCTGCCTTCCTCCCTTCCTCTGCTCCTACCTCTTAATAACTCTTTTTGTGTGTGTGTGTCAGTTGTGGAGCTTGAACTCTGGGCCTGGGCATGGGCACTGTCCCTGAGCTCTTCAGCTCAAGGCAAGTGCTCTACCACTTGAGCCACAGCGCCACTTCCAGTTTTCTGGTGATTAATTGGAGATAAGAGTCTTATGGACTTTCCTGTCCAGGCTGGCTTTGAACCACAATCCTCAGATCTTAGCCTCCTTAGTTAGGATTACAGGAGTGAGCTACCAGCACCTAGCTTAATGTTTCTGTCTTTAACTCTGCCCCCAGGAATCTGCCTGAGTCTGATTCTCTGTCTCAGATTTTTGAACCTGTCTCAGGAGGGGTATGTAAGTGGCACTTTGGTGGGTTGAGGAGTTTTCCTAGGATGGACAGGAGCCGCTGGTCCTGCGGGAAGCAGCGAGGACCAGGGAGACTTTTCCACCTCTTAGGCTGATTGCACACTTGGAACAGAAGAGCTATGCCTCATGCACCAGTGCAGATGGAGAAGCTGAGGCTGAAGAGGGGCCTGCTAGCTAGCACAGTGGCAGGGTTGGGATGAGAGACTGAGGGTCCTTGTCTTTCCATCTTGGGCTCCAGTCTGTCGGTCAGATTGGGCCTTAATGGTGAGGAATGGTCCCATGTTGTCACTCAGGGGTGGCCCACATGAAGAGATGAGTCTCAGAGCCTCATTTAGGACCCAGGGCAGACAGCAGGGCTGGAGCCTATTGATGATCTGTCCACCTGTAGAAAAGACCCTGAGGTCATGCTCCCAGCTCCTCCCCTCCTTCCTTCCCACTCATCATAACACATTTCCCCACAACACTTCTGCCCCTCTCTCTCCTGTTTCCACACGGGAAGCATCAGCTGCCTGAACCCAAGCTCTCCTTGCAGCTGCTGCCTTTCATATAGCTCACGTCCCAATCTGTCTGGAAGACAGAGTAATGGAGCTCTAAGGGTTAAACCACTTCTCAGGATAGGACTGTGTGCATGAGAAGTGGTTCTTGTCACTGAGGTATGGTCTTACCTTCTTCCTCTTCTACCAACTCCAGGTGGCTCCTTAGTCCCTCCCTGGCCTCCTGCCTGACCTCTTCTCCCTCTTCCTCTTCCCATCCATTCTTCACCACATCTGACTAGTTCATTGCCCCCAGCCCTCGGTGACTGATCCTCAGTGCCAATAAGAAGTCATTCAAAGCTGGGCACTAGTGGCTCATGCCTATAATTCTAAATGTTCAGGAGGCTGAGATCTGAGAATTGTAGTTCTAAGTCAGCCAGGGCAGAAAAGCTGGTGAGACTCTTATCTCCAATTAACTACCAAAAAAAAAAAAAAATGCTTGAGCTGTGGCTCAAGTGGCAGAGTGTTAGTCTCACAAGGAACAAGTTTCCTGCAGAGGTACTGAGGGAGACTCATTCATACATAGTCGGTGCTTGTGTGGAATGGCAACATGATTGCACTCATACAGGGCAGAGCCGTCGAATGCTGGGCACTGGGTCTGGCACACGACAAAGAACAACTCACTGTTTGCACATGGCTCACTGCCTGGATCCATCTCCCTGAGCAGGCATGCCCAGCACAGGCCTTCTGTCCCTCACACAGCGTCCTTGGTCCAGGCAGAAGGCAGGGTCATGGCTGCATTTGCCAAATGAGCCCTGCCCTGGTCTCATTCTTGTCCTTGACCCAGGACTCCTCAAATGTAGGAAAGGCTTGCTGCGTTGTAGTGAGCTCTGCTGCGTCTGAGTGAGCTCTGTAGCTTCATGGTAAATTCTGCTTTACCATGGCGAGTTCCTGAAGAGTTAAACTAACACCATTTTGAGGCAGCAGCCATTCTGTCATTTATGTTAAACTATGAGTGACCCAGAGCGAACATAAATTCTAGGAACTGACCTGTCTGTGTCAAAGTTAACCAGAGTTCACATAAATCCCAAGGACAGAGTTATCTGTTTGTGTGGCCACAAACTTCCCTCACTTCACAGATGGCCCAACCAGTCTGATAACCCCCTACTGCTCTGTATTGCCCTGGCCCAAAAGGTTTGATAACTCCCTATCATCTCTTATTGCCCCAGAATGTCCTGATAACACATCTGGTTGCTGTAACTCTGTGGTTTTTGCCTTTATAAGCCCTGTGAAATTTCAGCTCAGGGCCTTCCTCCTAAGCTCCGCTGTGTCGGTGTGTAGGATGAAGCCCGAGCTGCAGCCCACCTTGCTTTTGCATTTCAGAATGTCTGATTCTCAGTGGTCTTTCTGATGGTAGTCCTACGACGTGAGCATTACAGTTTCCTTGCTTTGTGGTGAGTTCTGCTTCTTCTTGATGGGCTTTGTGGGTTTTCTTTTCTTTTCTTTTTTTTGGGGGGTCCGGTCGTGGGGCCTGAACTCTGGGCCTGGGCGCTGTCCCTCAGCTCTTCAGCTCAAGGCTAGCGCTCTACCACTTGAGCCACAGCGCCACTTGCGGCTTTTTTCTTTTTGCTTATGTGGTGCTGAGGAATCGAACCCAGGGCCTCATACATGCAAGGCAAGCGCTCTACCACTGAGCCACCTTCCCAGCCCCAAGGGCTTTGTGGTTTTATGGTGAGTTCTGTGGCTTTTGGTAGCTCTGCGGTGTCACAGTGGGTTCTGCTGTGTCACGGTGAGCTTTGTGGCTGTGCAGAAAGTGCTGAGAGCAGCTAATGTTTATCAACGGCTTCCTGTAGATTGGTATTACATCCATATCTAACATTGCACTGGACACTGTGTTCCACAATGTCCTCAGGCCATTTCTATCCAGTTAGGGTTTGAATATAAAGTAGTGCACACACACACACACACACACACATGCCACATATACACAAAGGCTCATGTGTTGATATCCTGGTCCCCAGAGGTGGCATTATTGAGGGTTGATTGGATCAGGAGGCACTAACTTCATCAATGATTTACCTTGGATATGTTCATGGTTGAAAGGGCTCAGGGGAGACAGATTTGGTTAGACAAAGTGGGTTAAAGTGCCTCTGAAAGAGATACCTTGTCCTTGGCCCCCTGTCACTCTGTCTGTCTGTCTCTGTCTGTCTCTCTCTCTCTGTCTCTGTCTCTCTCCATCTTTGTCTCTCTCTCTCTGCTTCCCCACTGCCATGAGAGAGCTGCTTTTCCCCACCACTTTCTCCTGCCACCATGTTCTTCTTTTCCACAAGCCGAAAGCAATGGAGCTGGCAAACCATGAACTCAAGCCTCAGAAACCACGAGCCAAAATAAAGCTTTCCTCCTTTAAGTTGTTTCTCTCATGTATCCTATGTCATTCACATGTATGGATGCGGAGTCTGAGAAATGGGACTGCGCAGCCACGAAGTAACAGAAGCATGTTTGCAACGCAAACCTAATCCGAATGACTCTGATCTCCCAAGGCAAGCCAAAGTACCTCACTTTGATGCTGCAAGTCTTCCTTGCTTTGCTTTGCCAACATCCATGGTGTCATACACTGCTGCCTGGGCTTTATGTCTCTTACGTTATCGACTCCTTGAATTCATCCGGCTTCTAGGAACTATGGGGAAAACTGAGGCATGGCAGAGGGGTTAAGTATCGTATCAAGCTACATAACTAGTGACGTGATCAGGATTTGAGCCCAGTTCCTTCTCAATTTCCAGCCTAAAACCACATTCTGAACCCCTACCCTTAGGGCAGGGGCCAAACAAGGCATTAAGAACCCCTACCATGCTGTGGGAAGCTGACTATTACATGAGGGAGACAAAGGCAGACAGAAGTGGTTGATGGCAGGCTTCCTGACCTCCGCAGTTCCTGTGCGATCCCATACGTACCTACACACTTGGCCCCCTGGGTGGCAGAGTCACCTTTAAAGCATCTCTCTCTCTTTCTATCTACACACACACACACACACACACACACACACACACACACCAGGACTCTGGGTGTCCTTACATTGCTGTAGCTCCAAACAAAGGGGCCTTTTGGACGCTAAGCCCAGGTGATCTCCTTGGTGCCAGATAGCATTAAGCCTTTCAGAATGGTCAGGACAGCCTCAAGGGAAGTTAGACTCCAGGCTGAGGATGGGCAGAGAGCTTAGGGACAGACTCCAGACATCTATGTGTGGCCATTGCCTTCTGCTGTTAGCAGTGTGTGTTAGTCTCTGCTTTTGGATGGAGAGAGGCACAGTGGACTTTTCTGCCTTTTATTTCCATTTAAAAGGCAATATATTTGTCAAATAAGCATTTGTAGCACACATCCCAGTTCTGGACAATGGGATAGCATAAAGACTCAGGAACCAGTGACTCAGTATGGCATCATGTGGGCCTGGTGCACAGGTCTGGGCCCATTTTGAGGCTTTAGTCTTCAAAGCAGTGGGATAGGCATCAGACAGTAATGGGAAGCTGGAAGAAGGGCAGTGGAGGGCACAAGGTCATACCAACTCAGGGGTTAGCAGGATGTGGTCCTGGTCATGTTGGGCTGAGCCCCACAGAACCCCACAGAGCCCCAGCCTGCCCCTTCCCAGGCCCCTCAGAATGGGATGTCCCTGCCTTGGGGCTTGAATCTCAATGTGTCCATCTGGGGAACC